ACCGCCATCTCTGCTGCCGCCACCAACACCACTATTTAAGGCTTATCTTTCAGTGGCCCTTATACACCCAACAATAAAAACACAACACAACACTCGTTGGTTAGGGAGAGAGACATATGACATTTTATTCATTCTAGAGTATATAGTATCATGTTTTTATGTTATTAATATTGTTTATTATGCCATATTAGATGAATTGTGCTAGATAAATAAGCCGCCACCACAATCCCTAACACCCGCCAGAAATACTCTCTCTTTGGAACACTTTTTTGGCGACAGGGGTCCAGTGACTCAAGCTGGTCCTAGTGGCATTAACCCTTTGACTGTTACAAGCCCCTTTCTGAAACTGTCATTCATTGTCGAAAAATTCTTGGAAAAAAAAAAATTCTTATGAAATGATAGAGAATCTTTTCCCAATGGTACTGACACCAAAAGTACGAAATTTGATCAATAACTTATGGAATTACGCTCTCACGAAGTCAGCAATCTCGGCGATACATACACATTGGTGATTTTGCCGACTTTGAGCCCTATTTTCAGCCAATTCCATTGTTCCAGTTGACCAAACTCATAGCCATTTCTTTAGAACTCCATATTTTCTATCAAATGAGTACAAGAAACTGCCCATTTACCAATTTCAACTACCCAATAAAGTGGTCAGAAATTGGCAATCTGGCCAATTTCACACAAATTAAAAAAAGATGCCAATTTCAAAATAGGGTCCAGAATAAACAATACAGACATTCTTGGCACTAAAATAACATATCCTCTGTTCATTAGTCACATCTCTAGGCCCCTCTTATATTTTTCCTGCTTTCTATTTTGATTTTTTATTCACACAAAAAAATAGAAGATTTACTGTTATACAGACTACTTCATTATTGTAAAAATGGTATAAATAATATCAATGCACTAGTGAAAGAATATCAGACTCCCCAGCTGATGTGTATTGGATGTGTGGTGTAATTTGCTTACTCTTGAACACTGGTAAAAATCGAACATTTCCACTTCTTTGAGCTCAATTTCAAGATAGTTTTCATCGTGAAACTAATCAAAATAATATCTATTTCTGTAACATATTTCCCATTCTATCAAATGAGACCAAGAAAACGAGAATACAGCCACAAATACTATACGAAAATACACCTCAAAGTCGGCATTTTAATCCAAAAACACGGTCAGTTTTCTTTTTTCTCATTATGCATTGCATGCTGCAGGATTTTTTTTATACAGTGCACACTGACCACACAGCCCCATTTTCTTGCATGTGGGCCTACCAGCTTTCTCCTGCTTGATTTGAAGCCACTAGAATTATTGAGTATACATGTATACGTATACATCCGAAACACTGGCTCGTAAGACGTATATATACGGCCGAAACAGTCAAAGGGTTAAAAAACAAAGAAGGGAACTAACCCTGGAAAAGGACATGGTACCTGAAGTCTTCATGGAAGGGGATTCACCTTGCAAACAGTAATGTCTCCATCCTCTCCCCTCCTCCCATCTTCAATACACTAAGAAGTCTTCAATAAAGGCAAGTATCATATTATTAATGCTTTATTCTTCACGTCTCATTGTTTTCTGTGCAGGTAAGTGTATATTTCATGTAAAAAAATTATTTTGTTTTAATACTTTTGGGTGCCTGGAATGGATTAATTGGATTTACATTATTTCTTATGGGGAGAATGGTTTTGCAAATCGCCAATTTCGCCATTAGTCACACTCTCTGGAATGAATTACGAAAAACAAGGGTCCACTGTGCTTTTCATTGTGAAAGCAATCAAAATCATATCTATTTCTGTAATATATCTTCCATTCTATCATGAGACCAAAAAAAGAGAATGCAACCATAAAAACCATACAAAAATACACCGCTAAGGGGCAACTAATGGTTGAGAAGTGAACTCCGTTATTTATGGTCTGATTTCTTTCAATTTTGGTGTGCGTTAAGAAGCATCTTTCCACCATACATTGCCCAAGTTTCAATAAGATAGTCCAAGAAACAACTGAGATCCGATTCCCTAGATCAAAAGTAAGAGCCCCTCACCAGCATCAAGAAACTTCCCTTGAGGCCCGCTCGGATCTTGAAATTTCACTTGCACCTGGAAGCAAAAAGTCGACCGAGTGACTGTTCATATCTTGAAAAACTCGCACGTTGGGGCACTCGTAAGTAGAGGTTCCACTGTACAGCCTCTCCTCAATTAGCGACATACTCCTTTACCGACGTGGTCTTAGGAACCACAAAACTTAAGGCCAGAGTATTTGTTGTGCCACAAATACATGAACTGTTATCCAACACAGTCCTCTTATCAAAATTGAATGCACTGGAGCTGACTATTCAACAGCCTCCCATCATACATAAGGGGAATTACCAAAAGGCCCCTGGCTGTCTTCAAGAGGGAACTGGAGAGATACCTAAAGTCAGTACCATAGCCAGGCAGTGGTTCACTGTGGCATTGTGTGCAGCCAGCAGTAACAACCTGGTCAATTAGGCCCTGATCCACCAGGTGGAATGGTCAAGGACTGAGCCACAGGGGCACTGACCCCCAAAATGACACCACTGTTACAACATTTTTAAATATTGTCTACTACTAGTGAGACTTACACTGCTTAATGTCCTTGATATTATACACTTTCCAATAACTAAAAATCCTTGTGTGCTAGTTTAATTTTGACTTCAAAGAAATACTGAAAGCTACAGGTCTCCCTCAACATTCGCGAGGGTTAGGGGAACAAGAGCCTCACGAATGTTGAAAAAATTGCGAATGTTTGGTGCCCCAATATATTGTAGGGAAATACAATACATACAATACTGCTTCCTTAACTTGTTGAACCATGAACAGTCATAAAATACATGAAAACGTCATAAAATATTGTGCTAAATACATACATGTTATGGTTTAATAACATGTATGTCATTAAACACCACTGCCTCAACCAGTGCGGCGCACTGCTCATATTTTGGTACAATTTCTTCAATTCTATCATGTTTCTCAATTTCTTTACCAAAGGGCTGGCACTAGCAAGTTCCTTTGGGCCCATGGTTAATTATGTAGCAGTTGCACTCAATCTACAAGCGCCAAACACAATGAATTATTGTGAAATGTTTGGAAGAGCACGGAGCTAATGCTCACTCCAGCATAAACAAAGCCACACTGACTGAGGATGCCTCAGCCACTTCCTTCACCACTGCTTCAACCCTCTTATTTTTGTACAATTTCCTTCTTCAATTCTATCATGTTATTATTATTAACAATACGATTGAATTGAAGAAGGAAATTGTACAAAAATACAAGGGTTGAAGTAGTGGTGGAGGAAGTGGCTGAGGCATTGTCAGTCAGTGTGGTCTTCTTTATGCTTGAGTGAGCATTAGCCTCCATGCTCTTCCAAACATTTCACAATACGTAATTCATTGTGTTTGGTCCTTGTAGATTGAGTGCAACTGCAGCGGTTGAGGGAGTGGTTGAGGCAGCAGTTGAGGCAGTGGTATTTAATAACATACATGTTAATAAAAAAATGTTATTAATAATATGTATTATCATTAATAACATAGATATTATTAAATACCACTGCCTCAACCATTCCAGTTGCACTCAATCTACAAGCACCAAACACAATGAATTATTGTGAAATGTTTGGAAGAGCACAGAGACTATTGCTCACTCCAGCATAAACAAGACCACACTGACTGAGGATGCCTCAACCACTTCTTCAACCCTCATATTTTTTGTACAATTTCCAGCAGCAGCAGCAGCAGCAGCAGCAGCAGCAGCAGCAGCAGCAGCAGCAGCAGCAGCAGCAGCACAGCACAGCAGCCCGCAGCAGCAGCAGCAGCAGCAGCAGCAGCAGCAGCAGCAGCAGCAGCAGCAGCAGCAGCAGCAGCAGCAGCAGCAGCAGCAGCAGCAGCAGCAGCAGCAGCAGCAAACAGCAGCAGCAGCAGCAGCAGCAGCAGCTAGCAGCAGCAGCAGCAGCAGCAGCAGCAGCCAGCAGCAGCAGCAGCAGCAGCACAGCACAGCAGCAGCAGCAGCAGCAGCAGCACGCAGCAGCAGCAGCAGCAGCAGCAGCAGCACAGCCAGCAGCAGCAGCAGCAGCAGCAGCAGCAGCAGCAAGCAGCAGCAGCAGCAGCAGCACGCAGCAGCAAGCAGCAGCAGCAGCAGCAACGCAGCAGCAGCAGCAGCAGCAGCAGCAGCAGCAGCATCAGCAGCAGCAAGCAGCAGCAGCAGCAGCAGCACAGCAGCAGCAGCAAGCAGCAGCAGCAGCAGCAGCAGCACAGCAGCAGCAGCAGCAGCACAGCAGCAGCAGCAGCAGCAGCAGCAGCAGCAGCAGCAGCAGCAGCAGCAGCAGCACAGCAGCAGCAGCAGCAGCAGCAGCAGCAGCAGCAGCAGCAGCAGCAGCAGCAGCAGCAGCAGCAGCAGCAGCAGCAGCAGCAGCAGCAGCAGCAGCAGCAGCAGCAGCAGCAGCAGCAGCAGCAGCAGCAGCAGCAGCAGCAGCAGCAGCAGCAGCAGCAGCGTTTGATTCTTTGCCGTGTTCAAGAGTAAACATATGATGTCACTGTCCAATACCTGTCCGAATGGCCATTCCAATATGCAGTCATGAATGGGTTGACATTATTTATACTGTAGTTTAATAGCAAATAATGAACAAACAAAACACTCACCACACTGAGTGGTGGGAGGGCTGGCTGCCAGTTGCGGGGATTGGAGGGAGGGTAGTAGGGACTCGCGGGCGGCGGGAAACTTAAATATGATTTGGCGCCTGGGAATTTGGCAGCTGGGAATTTGGCGGTTGGGAATTTGGCGGTTAGGAATTCGCAAATGTGTGAAGCCCACGAAAGTTGAAATTGCGAATGTCGAGGGAGACCTGTATACAATAGGTGGGCTGGAGGGGAATAATCACACATTTGAAAATATGAATACTGTATCTAATTAAAATAAATATCATGTATACTGTGTAAGTAATTCAAAGGTACGGGCCTAAATATCCATGATTTAGTTTCCTACCTTGATAGGAAGGGAGAAAAGATAGATTTCCTCTAGACTCCTGATCTTTGCATCCTTTACAAGACGTCCAAGCTTCGTTATTGGTACCCATTCCTTCTCATTCTCTTTGCCACGACCACGGCCACGGCCACGACCACGGCCACGACCACGTCCTCGTCCACGGGTGCCGAAGCCACCTCTGAAGCCTCCACGGCCAGATCCGGAGTCTGCCATTCTATAAAACCAAAGCCCACAGATATTAAACAAAATTCAGACAGGGTTTTCCAAAAAAATATTTGGTATCTTAGAGAAATTAGCCAAAATATGTACCTCATCCTTATACCATACTGTGGTTTGATTTCAACACCCACAAAATATCCTCCCCCCCCCCCCCCGGTGTTTCATCTAGCCCGCATTATTGTAAACAGTCATACTTTTTTTTAACCCTTTCACTGTCAATACCCCTGCCCACAAACTTGCTCTCAGTATCAAAGAATTAAAAAAAAAAAATTCTTATGGTAATGACACTAAAATTATGAAATTTGATGGAAAACTTAGGAATTACACTCGCCAAGTTAGTGGTCTCAGCGATATATGTATATGTATCGTCGATTTCATCCAATTTGAGCCATATTTTCAGCCAATTCCATTGTTCCAATCAACCAAACTCATAGCTATTTCCCTAGAACTCCATTTGTTCTAACAATTAAGTACAAGAAACTGCCCATTTTAACTATCCAATAAAATGGTCAGAAATTGGCAATTCGGCCAATTTCACATAAATTTCAAAAGATGCCAAATTCAAAATAGGGTCCAGAATAAACAATGCAGACATTCCTGGCACTAAAATAACATTTTCTCTGTTCATTAGTCACATCTTCAGGCCCCTCCTATGTTACTCTTGCTTTCCATTTTGAATTTTTATTCACACAAAAAAAACAGACACTGTTATGCAGGCTACTGCATTATTGTAATAATTGTATAAATAATGTTAACCCATTTGTGACTGCGTATTAGACTGGCCAGTTGGACACGTATTGGACCGTGACGTCATTTATTTACTCTTGGACACTGGCAAAAATCAAAGATTTCTGCTATTTTGAGGTCAATTTCAAGGTACTTTTCATCGTGAAACCAATCAAAATCATCTCTATTTCTGTAATATGTATTCCATTCTATCAAATGAGACCAAGAAATCGCAAATACAACTATAAAAAACGTACGAAAAAAACACTGCAGAGTCGGTTTTAATCGAAAATTACAGTCTCAGCTTTTTCTTATTATGCACTGTGTGCTGCAGGATTTGTTTTATGTGGTGCACATACCACATACATGTATTCTGTCATATCTAGGCCCAAATTTACCACTCACAGCTTATCAGAGTGAGCTGAGCTCATGGCACAGAACCACGGTTTGGACCCTCGACTCAAAGCCGTATTATTATTATAATAAAAAAAGAAGCGCTAAGCCACAAGGACTATACAGCGCTGCACTCAAAGCCGTAGAACTATGGCACGGACCCTGAAAGGGTTAAGGTCACTAGGTCAGCGAGCTTAAACCAGTGGGAGAAATGGATCTGCCTCGCATAGGCAAGTAGGCCTGTTGCAGTGTTCCTTCTTTTTTTATGTTATGTCTTCGATAAAGCTAAGTGTGATATTATTGTTTTATTCATCATCTATCATTGTTTTCTAGGTAGAGAAATGTATATTTCAAGTAGAAAACATTTTTTTTAATACCTTTGGGTGTCTCAAACGGATTAAATGGATTTCCATTATTTGTGGAAAATTAATTCGGAATTCATCAGATTCGGGTTTAGTCACTCTCTCTGGAATGGATTAATTACGAAAAAAGGGGGTCCAGTGTATTTGTGTATACCTGGATAAACTTACATACGAAAGGAATAATTTTCTAGTTACCCCCAGTAATATTATATTGTACCCATTTTCTCTGGTGTTGGACTACAAGTCACCTGGCTACATCTCATATTTATGTTAATTTATTCTACTGTGGGATGTATTTATCATGTTTATATGTTACGTAGAGTGTTTATTATATAATTTTGAAAAAAATATAGATGGATTAGTGGAAGTGTCTATATTAACGTATTATATGACTGTGAACCCTTAAACTGTCCAAACGTAGATATACATTCATGTGCATAGTGCTCCGAATGTACATCTACATTTTTTTTTACATTTGAAAGCATAACAAAACGTAGATCTACATTTGAACAGTTTAAGGGATAATACGCCCAAGAGATAATGTATTATTAACCCTTTCAGAGTCCGTGCCGTAGATCTACGGCTTTACATTGAGGGTCCAAACCGCAGATTTACGCCACGAGCTCAGTTCACTCTGATAAGCTGTGAGCGGTAAATTTGGGCCTAGATATGAGAGAATACATCTATGTGGTATGTGTGCACCACATAAAACAAATCCTGCAGCACACAGTGCATGAGAGGGGAAAAACTGAGACCATAATTTGATTAAAACAGCGACTTTGCAGTGTTTTTACGTATGTTTTTTATAGTTGTATTTGTAATTTCTTTGTCTCATCTGATAGAATGGAAGATATATTACAGAAATAGAGATAATTTTGATTGTTTTTTGTACTGAAAATGGCTTGAAACTGAGCTCAAAGTAGCAGAAATGTTAAATTTTTGCCAGTGTTCAAGAGCAAACAAATGACCTCAAACGTCTAATACACGCCAGCTGATGGGTCTAATATACGTTCACAAATGTGGTGATATTATTTATACAATTATTACAATATTGCAAAACAGTAAATCTTCTATTTTTTTGTTTGAATAAAAATTCATTATGTGAATAAAAAATCAAAATGGAATTCATTTGTAAAGGCTGAAAATGTAACTAATGAACAGAGGAAATGTTAGTTTAGTGCCAGGAATGCCTGCATTGTTTATTCTGGACACTATTTTGAAACTGGAATAGTATTTTGAACTTTGCACTAAATTGGCCAAATTACCAATTTCCGATCACTTTATTTAGTAGTTGAAACAGTCGACTTGGCGATTTCTTGTACTCAATCAACAGAAGTAATTCTAGTGAAATAGCTAAGAATTTGGTCGACTGGAATAATGTAATTGGCCTAAAATGGGAGTCAAAGTCGGCAAAATCGCTGATGCATAAATATCACTGACATCAAAATACGCGAGAGCATAATTTTGTCAATTTTCCATCAAATTTCGTACTTTTTGCTTTATTACCTTCAGAAAAAAGATTCTCTACCATTTCATAAGAAAATAACAAAATTACTTTTTGAAAGTTCTTGGACCCTGGTGCACACTTTGAAATTTGGCCTCTGGACCCTGAAAGGGTTAATATGACCTCAAGAGTAGAGAGAGACTTAGTGATTTTCATGTATACCTGCATGCCAGCATAGTGCGTAAGTATATTTAGGTACAGGTACACGTTAGTATAATTATCAGAGTACATACAAAATATGCAATAACTTTAAAACACTTTGAAATTTTTGTAAATTTCCAGACCATAGATAGATGTGCTTATGGAGAATGTAAACAAACTGGGTGGGGCATGCTGTAATACAAAGACCACTCGCCGTATAGCAAATTTTGGTCATAACTTGAAATCACCATATTAGTGGAATGCTTTATGGCAAAATGCCGTAAAGCAGGGTCCTACTGTGTATGTCCTATACATACCTATTATAAAGTTTAACTGATAAATTATGCACAGTAAGTGGAGAATTATCACTTTTTTACTGATAGGAAGGACTCTGTGGTCTCTCTTAGGCTTTGAAGAACTGCTAGCTTCTCTACTTTGTGTTTTGGGACCATTACTATGCAAAATTAAAAGGTATTTTTTGGGTCACTGTAAACTGTAGAAAACCGAAACCGTGGATACTGAATCGAGTGGATACAAGGGTTCTACTGTACCATACACACTTAGAAACAAGAGGCTAATGTTAGTCTGACAATGCTTGGAAAGCAGCAGCTATCAATATTTTAGTTCCATTTCTGTGAATGGAGTCTCTCCTAAAAGAATACCAGGAACTTAAGTAAGCAATTACATATTCATCATGATACTTTTAACTTTATGCCTTCCTTTCACTGGGACACCAGAAATGCACTGCATAATGATATAGAGCACTATTACAAGAAACACTATACAGCCTCTCCTCACTTAACGACGGAGTTCCGTTCCTAAGACCACATCATTAAACAAATTCATCACTACCTGAGGAGCATACTATAATGGTAGTGAGTTTGTGTCAACCATTTTTGATAATGTTTTAATGTCACCTTTGCACCATTTATAACATTTCTGGTATATATTTAAATGTTTATACAGTAGTGTACTGTATATTAAACAGAATAGAGGAAATCAGCACTAATAAACATTATTTAGGTATGAATATTGGTCAGAGAGCCCGTCATAAGTCTGAGACGTCAGTAAACGAATACGTTGCTAAGTGAGGAGAGGCTGTACTGAATTAGTGTAACAGCTGTGCACAACCCATTCACTTTCCAGAATCCCCAAATTAAAATTGTGTCCAAATTTAAAAAAGAAAAACCATACCATGCACAGTGCACATATATCTACCCAATAATGTAACACAATACCAGCACTAACAGGGTCATCAGCACATAGTTGACAAAATTATGTAAACACACTGGTACAAATGTTTCACATTACTACTATTTTAATATTTATGTACATATATACAGGTACTGATCATGTTCTTCAAATTACTGAAGTCTGGAAATCCTTGAAACACAGCTCCATACACAGTGGTGTTTTACTCTCTACACAAAGCATGTATCTCTGCACTTTGGTAAGTGTCTTGTGTGTACACAGACATAACGTCTCTTCTTTTCTGTAGCAAACACTGTCATTAGAAAGTGATCAGTAACCTTTAACCCTTAAATGGTCCAAAAGTATATATATGTTTTTTCAACATCTGAAAGTATGTAAAAAAATGTAATTTTTTTTTTTGTTTTACATGTGAAAACGTGTAAAAAAAACTTTTATCTACATTTTTTTTGTTATATTTGAAAATATGTAAAAAAAAAGCAGATCTACTTTTGTAGCACTACGAATTTGAACGTCGATCTGTTTGGACCGTTTAAGGGTTAAACAAGAGGGTATTCAGTGATCGTCTCATATTTCCAGCATCATGAGCATCATTTTCATTCGTTATATGTCTGAAACCAAAGAACTCATCATTTCCATAATTCTTGCTGCTTGAGCTGT